ATTTCCCGGACGGCGGCAGTACTGGTTCGCCCTCGGCGCTCTATGCAGTCCGAGGCAGTGGTGGACGGCACTCCAGTGGCCATCACAATGGTGGTGATGGAGGTCGGCAGTCACAGGGGCGTGGCGGACGTGGTGGTAGAAATCACCACGGTGGCCGGAATCAGCGAGGTACACCGCATTGTCAGATTTGCAGGTCGCAAGGACATACCGCGGTCTACTGTTATAAACGCTACACGACGCAACCACCCGCCCAAGACCATGTTGCCGTGTCCGGTGAATCCCCGGGCACACCCGTACCACCGGCTGACACGTGGTATCCTGACACGGGCGCCACGGCTCATGCCACTCCCGATGCCGGCATGATAACATCCGCGGAGGAGTATAATGGCCTGGATACGCTCCGGGTGGGAAATGGTACAGGTTTAGTAATCTCACGGGTTGGCCATCCATCGATCCCCTCCTTGTTAAAACAATTGTTTCTATCTAATGTGTTACACGTCTCGAAATTAACTGTTCTCTTATTGTCTGTACAAAAATTCGCTAAAGAAAATGGTGTTTTTTTTTTTTAATTTCATGACAGTTGTTTCATTGTGAAGGATTCCAAAACCAAGGCGGTGCTTCTTAAAGACTCGACTTCTGGAGGTCTATACAAGCTACCTGTGTCCCGGAGTCATTTTGCGTTCGTCAGTTCCCGTGCAACGCCCGCAATCTGGCATCGCAGGCTCAGTCATCCACATAGTCTTGTCCAGTATAAAATTCTGCAGCATTGTTCAGTCACTCAAAATAAAACTAGTTTCGGGTCATGTACGGCTTGCCACCTCGGCAAGTCCTCTCGTTTTCAATTAGATCGAATAAAAGATTCTATCAACAATGTACTAGATCTATTGTATACGGATATCTGGGGGCCTGCACCAGTTATCTCGTCTAGTGGCTTTCGTTACTTTCTTCTATTTGTTGATGATCATTCCCAATATTGCTGGTTTTATCCATTAAGGGTAAAATCAGACATCTACAAAATATTTGATGTGTTTCGTGTGTTGATAGAGCAACAATTTTCGCGCTCTATCAAGTCTATACAGTCAGATCTAGGGGATGAGTACCGCAAACTTCATACCACCTTTCAATCCCTTGGAATTAATCACCGTCAATCATGTGTTTACACGCATGAGCAAAATGGAAAAGTTGAGCGCCGTAATAGACATATTGTCGAAACGGGCTTGGCTCTTCTCGCTCAAGGGGCTGTCCCACAACAATATTGGGATCATGCTTTCGAAACAGCTACGTGTCTAATCAATTATCTACATTCCTCAGCACTAAATTTTGAAAGTCCATATTACCGTCTTCATAAAAAGTTACCACTATACCAGTTTCTACGTGTCTTCGGGTGCTTATGTTACCCCTATCTAAGGCCTTATAACCGGCATAAGATATAGTTTCGTTCCACCCCGTGTGTCTTTCTGGGGTACCGTCCGTCTTTTCGAGGGTATAGATGCATGGACTTAACTAGTGGGAAGACTTATATCTGTCGCCATGTGCGGTTTGACGAGTTTATTTTTCCCTTTGCCACAGGTACATCACCACGAGTTGTTGAGCCTCCGCCTGTGCCATGGGCAGCTAGCCCCGTAGTACCAGTTTATAGTGAACTTGAGGTTCACCCTATCTCTACTGTACCACACGACTCTGATCCCCAGCCAATAGCTCAAGACGTGCCGCAATTGGCCATTGAGCCCGCTGTCCTGGCTTCTCGGGGGCGGGGTCGGCCACGGGGCCGGGGTCGGGGTCGGGCACAACCTCAAAAGCGGGGTCATGTTATGCGTTTCCGCCGTATGACACAGGGCACTAATGAAGAATTTCAAGCACTAATTGCAGTCACCGCTGATCCAACATGTTATTCTCAAGTTGTTGGCCACCCACAGTGGCGGGATGCTATGGACCAGGAGTTCAATGCTCTACTGCATAACAACACCTAGCGCCTGGTCTCACCTGATCCCACCATGAATATCATCGGGTGTAAGTGGGTGTTTCGCACCAAATGTACTGCAGACGGCTCGGTAGAACGACACAAAGCTCGCCTTGTAGCAAAAGGTTATAACCAGGTAGCTGGAGAAGACTTCTTCGACACCTTCAGTCCAGTGGTCAAGCCAACCACGGTTTGGCTCCTGTTTTCGTTGGCCATCACCAACAAGTGGACTCTACGACAGCTAGATGTGCATAACGCCTTCCTTAATGGGCATCTGGCCGAAACAGTCTATATGAAGCAACCACTGGGATACGAGGACCCGACTCACCCTAATCATGTCTGTCACTTGCAAAGATCTCTTTATGGTCTGAAACAGGCTCCGAGGGGATGGTTCATGAGGCTACATGACTTCCTTCTTACCACGGGGTTTAATGCATCAAAGACGGACGTTTCTCTCTTCTACTACAGTGCAGATGGGTGTCAGGTGTTTCTTCTTGTTTACGTCGATGACATAATTATGATGGGGAGCAATGCTACGTTGGTCAACGCTTTATTAAGCCATCTCGCTACTGCTTTCAAGATCCAGGATCTCGGCAAGCCAGGGTTTTTCTTAGGCATTGAGACAGTAGATACTATAGACGGCATGGTCTTGTCCTAGCGCCGTTATATGTCTGATTTGTTGAATCGAGCTGGTATGGTTGACTGCAAACCACTGGCCACACCTGCATCGACCACACAGGCAGTTACTCCGTATGATGAACTGTTCGATAGTCCCACACAGTATCGTCGGATTGTTGGGGCTTTGCAGTACCTTACTATTACTCGTCTGAATCTGTTATACGTAGTGAATCGCTTGTGTCAGTTTATGCATACTCCGGCGGTTGAACACTGGGCTATGGTCAAGCGGGTATTACGGTATATCAAAGGCACCTTGGACTATGGGCTCCGTCTCAGCTGCTCTCCTATTGCTTCCATTCACGCCTATTCCGACTCCGACTGGGCTGACTGTCCGATTGATAGGAGGAGCACTAGCGGGTATGCGGTGTTTCTCGGGACCAACCTCATCTCCTGGCTGTCGCGGAAACAACGGACAGTGGCTCGCTCTTCGACTGAAGCAGAGTATAAAGCCTTAGCTGATGTTGCTGCTGAGGTTACTTGGGTTGTATCTCTACTCCGTGAGCTTGGTCTACATACTAGGCAGCCTTCTACCCTATGGTGTGATAATTTAGAGGCAACATATCTATGTGCTAATCCAGTTTTTCACGCCAGGACGAATCATGTTGAAATCGACTACCACTTCATTCGTGATAAGGTTGCCAGCGGGGAATTTGTAGTCAATTTTGTTTCGACCAAAGATCAGCTAGCCGATGTCTTCACCAAGCCTCTTCCAGGACCCAGGTTTATAGCTCTCCAGGACAAGCTCAACGTTGTGTCTCTAACACCGTGTGCTTGAGGGGGTGTGTGAGTATTAATATTATTGTATATGTTTATATTTGTATAACCTATGGTTAGTTTTCTATGGTTAGAATAAGTCTACTATCTGTATCCTATTAGATAAGAGTAGTTAGAGGTAGACTGAGATATACTCTCCTGTAACCTTATCGTTGATTATCTGAATCAGATTTGAATTCTCATTAAGGGGACTATTTATAGGTGGATGATGGGATTGGAAGATGAAGGGTCGGCCCGATTACATGGAAGGTCCAGATTGCGACACGTGTCACAACATTGCGCATGCACCGTCCGATCAAGGCTTATGGAAATTTTTGAAAATTACCAAAAATTGTCCGGTAGACTAGAAGGAGCACGATAGGACGACCGGTCACCCTACGGTAGGCCGATCGATGGCACTTTGTTCGTGACAAGCTGATTAGAAGAATTACGAAGAAAATAGTTCTCACTTCTCGAACTCGATGATTCTTGCGGATTCAAGGAGTGGGGACTCGTGATGGGTAAATACGCACAAAAGACTGATCCGTATAGCCGGTCTGTCAAGAAATCATCCAACCGGTCCATCACAATCATCAACCCGACAGGACTAAAACACTTGTTCTCAACCGTACCGTACGTACCGATAGGCCTCGTGACAAGAGAAGATGCTCTCGGAACACCCTTGGAATCGCCGCGATGGAAAGTCACCCGGCCAGTCTACCGTAGGGTGACCGGTCGGCCTGCAGTATGACGTAGCCTTCAGAGCCGAAAACGTAACTTACACGACAAGTCATAAGGGCCAACTTGCGCCTGCAGAGTGGCGGCTGACGTCCTGCAAAAGTAGCGGCTCTGCCTCATCAATCAGTCAACCTATGCATAGTTGCAGAGCGACCGCCTGACTAACCCAACGGGAAGACTCCACATCGATCCACTTGCAGCTGGCGCATTAAATGCGTAGACCGACTTAGACAGTATAAATAGGAGGGTCTCCTCCTCATTTCTGATATCTTCATCCGATGACAACATCTACTCACTACATTGTAACCTACTACTTGTTACTTGCAATACTACTCAGCCTCAGATCGCTCAGTCGTCGCCCGGTAAACCGACCGACCGACTGACCTACGGCGCTCTATTCTGCTCATTCATAAACATACGTATTCGTAGTGTAATTGTAACCCCCGATTCAATTTACGCTATCAAAAAAAAAAAAAGAAAAAAAAGTTGAAATACAGAGTGATTCCATCCCGATTATTCTAGTGATTGATAAGAATGATGATTTGGTTGTGACCTCAACTCCGGATAATAAGGGAGCTCTGAGCTGTTTTAGATTCATTTGGACCTACTCAGAGAGCTTTGTGATGATTAACTTACAATAACTTGTGCAATTAGAAATATTTTGTTGGAAACTCGATGCAGTATGGGCATATTTCTTGTGCGTACCAACATGCGCACCGTCATTAACCAGAGTGTGAGAGACCCTTAAGATTAGAGATTCAACCTTTTGGAAGAAAGAAAAATCTTGCTTAATAGGCTCATAAACTTACGCCCATTAGTTTAGTAACCACAATAGTCTTCTAGGTTTGAGCACGTTCAACACTTTTTTGGGTTTTATTTGTTCCACAAGATTAAAATAACAAGTTACGATGTTACCATTACCATATATATAGTTATTACAAGTTCCTACAAAAATATGGAAATTTAACCATGCTCTTATCCATTATTAGGCTAATCCCATTCATGATTCATTCTATTTACAGGCTTAGAGAGTGGAGACCATTAATTAAGCTGTCAACGGAGATGCGCCTTGAAACAGATCAGATGCTGCATTCCCACTCTGAATTCCACACTGCCTTTTCCCCTCACATTCTTCTTCTTCTTCCTGCTCCAATTCTTCTTCTGCATCCCAGAGAAACCGAGCATAGGAAGCTAGAACATAGCTGCAATCAATCCGATTACACATGTTATTTCCAGATTCATATTCGTATTAATTCAAGATTCATTATGTTATTTTTACCAGTCATCTGGGTCAGATTTGACGGCTTGATCAAAGTAAGATTGGGCACGAGCTGAATCTTTATGGGTTTGCCAAATAAGATCAGCATACAGTGACAGCACACTCCCATCACTGGGATTAGCCAGAATTGCTCTGCCACAATACTCCTCTGCTTTTACTGTGTCCCCTCTAACCTGTTAGAGGTTAACAACACAAGATTAGATTAGATTAGATTTATGTTTATCAGTGAAGGCTCTGGGATTGAAATTTTTATTGTGAAATTGTGGTTACCTCTTTTAGGAATTTAGCATAGTTTGCCAGCAAGAGGGCATTGCCGGGGTTGGCTTCGATCATTTTCTGATAGTACGCGTCCGTACTATCATGGCCGTGCCAGCTGTCGGAGTCATGGGAATTGGAGCCAGAGCCGGGGCCATCACCGCCGTCCGATCCTCGTCCCCCGCCGCACACTCTCCCGCCCCCGCCACCGTCGCCCCCGCCCACCACCAGCGTCTGCAGAGCCCTCTCCTCGGCGAAAGCGGCGCATCCTTCCTGCTCCACCTCTCCCAGCCCCGAATTCGACAGCAACCTGTCGACCTCGGTGAAAACCACCACCTCCTTCACCTTCGGCGGATTCGCCGTCGTAGCTCGCTTTACGCTGCTCTTATTCTTCCTCGGAGCGAGCGGGCTACCCAGTTCAGATTCGCACATGGATCTGATCGAAGCGTGCCTCTTCAAGGCGTCCTCAACGCCGCACAACGTCGCGAAACAAACCGATCGCGTCCGCGACAGCTTCGGCGCCGGCAAGGGGAAGACGTCGGAATCCGGCGACGATCCATTGCAGTTCGGTATCAATGAATTCAGCAACGGCGTGGATGAGCTCCTCAGTAACATCTTCGAAGCAACAGAAAACAGAGAACAGAGAGAAAGGAAGTGAAAGCCTCTCAGCTGCTCCTTCGATAGGAGAGAGAATTTGGTGGGCGTAGTTGGAAGGTCTATATAGATCTGTTACGACACATCATCATTCTGAGTTAATCTGAGCCGTTGGCTTTGACGGCCGTGATGGAAAAAATATAAGATACATTTGGGGTGGGCCACCTGACCCATACTCCGCTGCTGACCACCTCTGAAGGGGGCCCACCTTAACCCTGGGTTATGTATTATTGATTTGTGGCCATTTCAGATTCAACGGCCTAAAATGCCCCAAGGAATTACTGAAAAGTAAAAAAAAGGGAAAATGACACTTATTCAGCTGAGTTATATATTCATAGCACTATTTTCCCCTGAATTATTCAAGTAGCTGTTTTTCCCCAGAAATGTTAAAGGGACATATTTACCCTTAAAATAAATATTTAAAATAAATATTTTATTTATTTTCCTTCTCCAACAAATTATGACCATAATTTGGTTCAAACCAAACAAACACTATACCAACCAAACCGAAATATTCCAAATACAATTTAGAATCGAAACTCGATATTTAGAGTTTATTAAAATCGTGAACCGGAACGGACGGTTCATGTTCTGAACGGAAAAAATAAAATACATTTATTGTTGAATTTAGACTATTTTAAAATAAAAAATAAAATTTTAACATAAAGACGGTTCAAAATCGCGAACCGGATCTGAAATCGCCGGTTCACGGTTCAGGATCCATTTTTTTTATTCATAATTTTAATAAATTGAAATCCAAATATTAGGTTCTAGATCTGAATCATAACCGAAAACTTTTAATTCAATTGCTATAGTATCTGGTTCAGTTTGAACCGAACCGTGATCATCCCTACGTATACGCAATAATTTGTTGGAGAAGTAAAATAAATAAAATGTTCACTTTAAGGGTAGAAATGTCAATTTAATATATTGGGGGAGGGGGAGGGAACCACCACATTTAGAATAATTGAGGGGGCTAATGTGCTTACCTAAATAATTGAGGGGGAAAAAGTGCTATAAGTATATAACTCAAAGAGAAAAACTGCCATTTTCCCTAAAAAAATTATGAAAATTATTATTTATTTCAAATACTTTTTACGGATACGGAGTATTATTTAATATATGATTGGTTGGAATTGTAGCATGCAATATTATTGCCATATTCCATGACAATATGAGATTGGGCAAATTACAGAGTTGTGTAGAACAAAACAAATAGTACATTTTTAATGCTAAAAATATATTATTCTGTGTATTGAATGTACATTATATAAAATAATATATTTTCAGTACTCAAATAATATATATTTTTTAAATATAGTGTACATTTTTAATATACTAAAATTAAATTATTTGTTTATTGACTATAAATTATTTGATAATATGGTTCACACAACTGTGTAGACCACGGTCCATACAATAATGATTGATGAGATTGGGGGTATATATATGCCATGAAAATGATTTATTTCTCTTCTAAATTTACATTCAATATTTTCTCTGCCTCTCTGGAATGTGATATTTGTATAATTACCAATTAGATATTGTCACATCATGAAAAATGAATTGGAGAGAAAAAATATTGAGAGACTCTAGCATTACTCATATAACATTACGTAAATTAACAAATAGTAGTGAAAAAAGAAAAATATAGAAAAAATGGAAAATGTGTGTAAAATAATAATTGCTCTGCTACTGCTTGCTAAAAAGAAGAAAAATAAAAATGTACTAAAAAATATTTAAAATATTTAGATTATGGCACCGATACACAGAAGAATTTGAAGATATGATTCTTCTGACAAATCAAGATATGTTTTAGCCAATATGAGTAATTTCCTACTTTCCTTAAAAATCAAGACCTTTTTTGTTAAAAAAAAAAAAAGAAGAAAACTCCCGAAAAGAATAAAAGATTTGCATATTTTAATGATACCAAAATAGTATTTAACATTTTTATTATTATTATTTTTTATAAAATAAGTTTCCCAATTTTGCCAAGTTGTATCCTAAATGTTACGAGTCCACTTTCTAGAAGTAAATCGGGCAAATTATCCCGTGAAACTGTGTACACCTTGATTTCAAAATTGTTTATAATTATGAATATATAGTTCAAAAATTATGAACATATAATTCTATAATTATGAACATAGAGTTGTGAACATAATTATGAACATATAGTTATGTAATTATGAATATAGAAATTTAATAATTGTGAATATGAAGTTTAAAAATTATGAATATATAACTTTATAATTATGAATATATAGTTCAGTAAATAAACATATAGTTCTGTAATTGTGAATATAGAGCAGCTCAATAATTATGAATATAAAGTTCAAAAATTATAAATATATAGCTTTATAATTATGAACATATAACCGTGTCCACCTTATTCTACAATATAACGATCGGTAAATCAAGTCTCCTATCAAGCTTTGAGGCCCACACTCAACTGTCTACTTATGAACATAATGAGCCTAACTTCACCCAGCTTAACTTGGACAGCTAAATTCCACCCATTTTACTTAAAAATATGATATTCAATAAATTTAGGTTCATTGTTTGTATACATAAGGTTTACTATTTGTATGCATAAAGTTCACTATTTGTGTTTATATATTTTGAAGCATGGTCTGTAGTAAAATTTACCTCACAGAAGTAAATTGTGCTAGTTTTTATATTCATAATAATTAATTAATTAATTATTTATATACTGAGCTAGTATTTATATGAAATTATATTATACCTAATGTACAAGGCAGAGTTTAGATTTGTATTGAATACTTTGAGGACACCCAAAATATATGGTCCTAACTCAAAACCTTCCTCATTCACTTTATGGAGATACTAAGTACAATCGAGACTGATGTTGACCGGCACTTCATAATTTTTCTATATAAATAATTAAAATCCAAAGGGATAACTAATAATGTAAAGCCAAATTATGATTTGGGAGAGGATAAACGTTTCAAAGTTGGTGTTGTAGGATAAGTTGATAAGGTAACAGTGTTGGGTTTATAAAGCAAAAATCAATTTGATTAGAAATTGATATTTTTGGAACAGAGGGCTCCACTAAGTAAGAAATAATCTCAACTTTCTCGTAGCAATAGGCAAATGGGGGCAGATTTTTTTTTTAGTAGCTGAAAGAGACTACCAAACAAGTGTACCTCCTCGTTCCTGTGTAGGCTCCTGGTCTACATTCACATACACCATAACCTTAGAAAAAAGGCAAATGTATAAATGAATCTCACTTAGATATAATGTCACATCTCATTTTTCCAATTTTCATCTTATTTTTCCAATTTTGGAAAGCTCTATCTATGCAGTTTCCACCCAACTCTTTTCACAAAAAAAAAAAAAAAAAAAAAAAAAAATGAAAGTCCTCACATTGCCTTACCCTGAAACCTTGATAGAGAATGCAAATTGTAGAATATGTTTCAATAGTCTATGAGTTCCTCAAATATTGGTACCCACCGAGAAAGAATCAAATTTTACACCTTACAATTGCCAATAAAGGAGGACTATAAACTCTTCTTTTTAGATTGGTTAATTAGGTGAATTATATCCAAAGTAGCTTTTACTAATGGTGGTTAACCAAGTGAATTATATCCAAAGTACATTTCACTGACGGTGGTTAACCAGGTGAGTTATGTCTGAACTACCTTTCACGCATGGTGGTTTAAGATGTTATTCACAATCATAATCTATCACATGCATTTTGTTTTACCTGGAACACATTTTCAATTATCCAAACATAGCATAAACCAAACCAAACCAAAATTAAAATTAATGTATCATATGAGACACATTCACATGTATTTGTTCTTCTCTACCCTCTGTTGAGGGTGGTAGGGATGGGGAGTCAGGACCATTGTACCATAAAAGCATCAAAGTTATCTTAGAACAATAACCATGCGACACCTTTACTAGGAATCATAATCATTCAATCACAAGACCTCCACTTACATCTAACCACCTATACAAGGTGAAAAAGCCCTTTCACATTACAAGGGACCACTATCTTTGTTCCAACTCTAGCAATTTCAAACTCACTAATCAATAATTGTGCACCAAGGGTAAAAGACAAGTACTCGAACAGAAAGGTGCAAGGCCTACTCGAATGGGTACTATGTTCTTGTTTTTTTTTAAATTAAAGCACTATGTTCCAGTCACACTAGACTCCAGAGTCTTTTTTTTTTTTTTTTTTTTTTTTTTTTTTTTTTTTTTTTTTTTTTTTGTAGCATATCTATCAAGAAATAGGATGTAGTGAGTCCCATTTATGTTCATAGATATTCCATGTCTATGACTCCATGTTCTTCATGCCATATTCATTCAAGTTTTCATAAATGGAATCAGCAGCTCGAGAATATATGAAAAAGAATTCAGTTAAGACAAGGCTGTAGATCTTTTGGCAGTTTCCTATTTCTATGGATCATGCATAAAAATCAATGGCAATATCATCAAACTACATCTATTTGACTATTAACCAATGAATCTCCATTTTCAAACATTTAAGGAATTCAAGAATGAAACAACTGACAACAATTATGACAAGAATAACAATAAAATCAAAAAGAAACATCAGAAGTTAGTAGCCATGAAACTAGAGTAAAAGACTCCGTCGGATCAGGCACTAATCCCTCAGTGATCGTTTGGCTCAAATCAAGGGATAAGATCGTGTTGTGAATCACGGATTTCAGAGGATGAAAGATGGATTAACAGTATTGTTTTGGATGCATTAAAGATTTAGACTATCAATCTCTCATTTGGTTTAAATGACTGAGAGATTGGGATGGCATCCATAAAATTTAGGTGGGCTCATACTTTAATGGTGGAGTTTGAGTTGGATTGGGGGTTTGCTTCACTGCTTGTAACCCACAGTACCAAACAGGAATAACAGGATTGGTAACCCAGTATCCACTCATCTCCCAAACCAAACATGGCCTTAAAGTTGAATGATGAAATATAGGGCATAATTATTTTGATTAGTAAAGTGAGATAACCTGATAAGCACCAAATAATCATTAGACTATTGCTAGAAAA